TTTAAAATTTTTCATGTATAATATATTTAAAGTTTTACATATTTTAAGTCATTATTTTAAGTAATTATTGCAAACATATTTTATTTTTTTATAAATGCATTTATTTTAAAAGGTAAAATATATTATTGCATTATTTGTAAAATCTGTTTTTTTATTTTTTTTAAATGATATATACGGACCAATACCGGTCCGTATATAGTTATCCGGACCGGTATCGGTCCCAATATGCCCAGAACAGTAACTTTTTATTTTTTTTTTCTAGGTTACATTCGGTAAATTTTAAAATTTTTCATGTATAATATATTTAAAGTTTTACATATTTTAAGTCATTATTTTAAGTAATTATTCGAAGCATATTTTATTTTTTTATAAATGCATTTATTTTAAAAGGTAAAATATATTTTTACATTGTTTGGTAATATTACATAATTATTAAATAAAATAAATCTGTTTTCTTTATTTTTTTTGGGTTTTTTTAAATGATATATTCGTACTTAATTTAATTTAGCTGTAGGATACAAAAACCCTCGGAGTGCCTATATTCGGACCGATACCGGTCTGTATATATATATACGGACCGGGATCGGTCCGTATATTCCACTTAACAACAGCTTTTTATTTTTTTTGTTATTTCATGCTTAAGTCGTTCTACTCTCGTTTTAAACCGTAACATTCCGAATATTTGCAAGTCAAAGTGGTTAACCTAAGTAAAAAAAATTAATTTTATTTGCTTGTGGCTTCGAAAGACCATTACATAACATTATCTCTAATAACCTTCAACTTATACGTTCGTGGTTTTGCAACGATATTACTCCATACCATCGTAAGATAATTTCAGGTTGACAATCGATGGTTTTGTGGTTCCAAGGGACTGTAAGGTCGATGTACTTGCAATTGGTTTTCGCAGGAATGGATTTCGGACACGAGAAGATGGTAATGTCCTTAAATGAAAAGAATAAAAATGTGAACTGGGAGAAGTTTCTGGATTTTTTCTAGTATATTCGGACCAAAATCGGTCTGAAAAATGAAAACCATGGAAGCTTCTGGATTCTTTCCATATATTCAGACCAAAACCGGTCTGTATATATATTCGTACTTAATTTAATTTAGCTGTAGGATAAAAAAAACCCTCGGAGTGCCTATATTCGGACCGATACCGGTCCGTATATATATATACGGACCGGGATCGGTCCGTATATGCCCCTTAACAACAGCTTTTTATTTTTTTTGTTATTTCATCCTTAAGTCGTTCTACTCTCGTTTTAAGCCGTAACATTCCGAATGTTTGCAAGCCAAAGTGGTTAACCTAAATAAAAAAAATTAATTTTATTTGCTTGTGGCTCCGAAAGACCATTACGTAACATTATCTCTAATAACCTTTAACTTATACGTTCGTGGTTTTGCAACGATATTACTCCATACCATCGTAAGATAATTTCAAGTAGACAATCGATGGTTTTGTGGTTCCAAGGGACTGTAAGATCGATATACATGCAATTGGTTTTCGCAGGAATGGATTTAGGACATGAGAAGATGGTAATGTCCTTAAATGAAAAGAATAAAAATGTGAACTGGAAGAAGTTTCTGGATTTTTTCTAGTATATTCGGACCAAAATCGGTCTGAAAAATGAAAACCATGGAAGCTTCCGTATTCTTTGCATATCTTCAGACCAAAACCGGTCCATATATATATTCATACTTAATTTAATTTAGCTTTAGGATAAAAAATCCCTCGAATTGCCTATATTCGGACCGAAACCGGTCCGTATATATGAATTGAGGACACGAGAAAATGGTGATGTCCTTAAATGAAAAGAGGGAAAATGTGCGCGTGAATTTTTTCCAAATATATTCGGACCAAAATCGGTCCGAATATATTAATGTGATCCCTTGTATTCTAAATACATATACGGACCGAAATCGGTCCGTAATTAATTTATGCGCCAAATTTTTACCGTAAATTTGAATTTTTCCGATTCTGCGCTAATTTATTTATATTCAGACCGATTCTGCGCTAATTTATTTCGGTCTGAATATTATTAATGCGCCAAAAATTTTCCCGAAAAAATTGAAACGTTTGGCACGGCGCGCCAATAAGGATTATACGGACCGAAAACGGTCCGTATAGCCCCTATATATATCACCACTTCTCTTCCTTTTCCTCATTTTCTCTTCTTCCTCTCTTTCTTTTCCTTTCTTCCTCTCTTTCTTTTCTCTTCTGCCTCCCGTCTCTTTCTTCTTTCTCTTACTTTTTTTTTTCTACTTCTTTTTATTTGTCATTTCCTCTCTTCTTTTCTCTCTTCCCTTTTCTTTCTCATTTCCTTCTATTTCCTTTTCTTTCCTCTCTTTTTTCTCTCCACTTCTTCATCCTTTCTTTCCTTTTTTTTTTT